GTGGGGGAGGGAGGGATAGTGGCTTTATGCTGAACAGTATTTGGAAATGCGGAGATATGTATATATTATACCACTGTCCAAAAACCTTTTGTCACTGATTGTAGATCTTGAACTATGACGTTGAACTATGATCTCGCGCGACTTCTAGTTATTTTACTATAAAAAAATACGTTGATATGAGAAGGCTTGTTGGCTCGACTTCGGAGATCCAGCTGTTTGAGCCGAGAGAAGGCTCAAGAGATAGGGGGATAAAATGGCCCATATTATGAACACGCTTATACCGCTGAACAAAAGAAAATGACCAATTTTCGTTTAATTTGACGATTTCTACTCAGTTTTATATTTGTTTTATAAACAAGTCTACGGAACCGAATATATATTGCCAAAAAAATGTTTGCATACAAATCAAGTCACTTCATGTGTGTATATACGTCCCACTAGCCGAGAAATGTGAGTAAGCGGATCATATACAGTACGAACGTTAACATGTCCTATAAGGAACCAAATGTACTTAAATACTCAACGTATAGTTTTATTTTATGATCAGTATGCTGCAACTGTCAAGGTTAATGCTGTTTTTCTGTTGGGTGTTTTAGGGAGAGGAAGGCGTGTATAAAGTTCTTCAGATCTTCAAAGAAGAATTTAAATTAGCAATGGGCCTAACGGGTGAGATTCAAACTAGATTCGCTGTTGCTTCCCCTATTCGGATAGATATAGGTCTATCTGAATCTGCGAATCCTAGTTTTACAAGGTAGATTTTGTTTTGTTTATAATTATAGGATGTGCAAATCTGAAAGATATTTCAAGGGACATGGTTGTCCATCAATCCCATTATTCAAGAATATAAACTTCAAATCGAAAACAGAATTTTAATATTTTAATCAAAAGGTCTATCCCTCGGACCAATTTTTTGCAATATCGAAAAAAACACTGTCAGTAGTAATAGTAATTTTTAATAAACGTCTATAATTATGGTCATTTGGTACAAATCTTTAATTACAGTGTAATTTTTTATCAGTTTAAGTTTATTTGAAGTACAAACCATAAAACCCCCCCCCCCCCCTCCCCGAGTAATATGTTCCACTTGGCCCTTGTATAGTCCTCCCATAGTCACTGGTTCGCCTGATGAAAACTTTGATCCGTTGGTCAATTTCGAATCGCAAATTGGTTTATCTGAAGAGCCGAATAAAGCGATCTATTCTAAAACTGCACCAGAGTGACAGACGAGTACAGACGAGTAACATACGACTACAGACGAGTAACAGCTAGACGACTACAGACGACTAAATACGACTAATAAACAGCATTTTGACGGACTGTTTTTAATAAATTATGCAATATTTTTCAAAATGGCGATTGGCGCCTGCAGTAAGTATGTGAGATTTCTGTCTTTAGCCGCTATTGTATGTGAAGGTGAGAACTGTACTACTATAGTCATATAATTATTTGTAATTTTCGGTCAGTTTGGATCGTATTTGTGTAACGTACTTTACGTTGCTGAGCAAAGTATTAAATTCTTGGGTTTCAATCACGTGATGTTTTCAGTAGCATAACTTAACTCAAGTGAGGTAAACAAGTACGATCCAAACTGACCGAAAGTTACAAATAATTATATGATTATTGTAGTACAGTTCTCACCTCCGCATACAATAGCAAGGGTGGGTTGTAGCGAAGTAGTTGTAGTTCGCTACTGTAGCGAACTACAATTTTCAAGTAGCCAGTAGTTCAGAGCCAGTAGTTTTTGACTACTTTTTTAAAACAGTAGCTGTAGTTATAGCGAACTACATTTTGCCTAAAAGTAGCCAAGTAGTTGACTACTTTTCAAACAGCGAATCGCTATTCGCTACTTTCTAAAATTGTTAGCAACTTGATAGAATAGAATGATATTGAGACACGGTTTGCTTAAAATCAATACTCAATAGTCAATTTGCACTCTTGAACACTGTAGTGCTTACAAAAATGTTGCTTTGTGTTTACTGTTGCTATTCATAAGTCGATTTGTTATAGGTTACATTTCAGCCTGAGTTAGTAGATGCTCCAGATACAGTAACACTAAAAATATAGCGTAGCGAAATAGCGAAATAGTTCGTTACATTTTTTAAGCTGTAGCTGTAGTCAGTAGCGAACTACCTTTGTTCAAAAGTAGCAGTAGTTGTAGCTGACTACATATTTTTGAAGTAGCTGTAGTTATAGCGAACTACAAAAATTTTGTAGTCAACCCACCCTTGTACAATAGAGAGTTTAAGATCTACGACGCGGCCGGCTCAACGACGCGGTCTGAATTTCAGCTAAAAAATGAACGCTAAGCAATTTCATTACTGTAATAAATGTTTGACGATTTTCAAATAACATTACAAACTGCTAAGTTTGACTAAAGCGATGCAATGTTTGCTATAATTTCGACATTAAATATCACCTTTTGGGTCGCAATAAGCTTCGCGTTGCTTGAAAGACGTGATAATGCTTAGTTTAACGTTCTGCTGAGCATGACAAAGCCGTTGAGAATACCCCTGGGACCACAAATTATTCACAGTTTTTGTCTTGCATGACAAATTTCTTTCTTTCGCAAGCGCGTAGTTGAGCCGGCCGCGTCGTAGATCTTAGGCCCGTTTTATACGTCGAATTTTGGTCGCGTCGAATGCAATTAAGACAATAGATAATCAGATGGTAAACCTCATTAAGCTTCATTATCTATTGTTTGAATTGCATTCGACGCGACCGAAATTCGACGTATAAAACAGGCCTTAAACTCTCTAATAGCGGCTAAAGACAGAAATCTCACATACTGCAGTCGCCAATCGCCATTTTGAAAAATATTGCATCATTTATTGAAATTTAGAAAATTTACTCGTCTGTAGACTGTAGTCGTCTGTACTCGTCTGTTGCTCATCTGTTACTCGTCTATTAATAGATGTCAATTAAGCAACACAAGAAAGCATTTCCTAACACAAATACCCCGTTCATTTAACGGCGGATACTTCCTAATGAAGTGAGTGTTTACGGGTGCCCTGTAGAAATGCAAGTCTGTGACAAACAAACCGACGACGAGGAGAACCGACAATGTCCATTTCAATTTCATCTTCGAGGCAAAATTAATGTAATAATCTCCTAAAGAAATACTGTTACATCATAAAGATCACTAAATGGTGTATCGTTTGAAATGGATTAAGGCTTTTCCGCTTATATAACATATATAATGAATTAATGAAACGCGTGATTGAAAATAAAGCCTTTGGCTTTGGTCAATTTGTTCAGGCCCGCCCAGAGGGTGTTACAGGGAGCATTTTGCTCCAGGCACCCAGCTCAAAACTAAGGGCCTCAAATTTTTTGATACAAGAATATACCGAAAATATCAATCTTAGGCCTGTTTTATACGTCGAATTTTGGTCGCGTCGAATGCAATTCAAACATAATGAAGCTTATTATCTATTGTCTTAATTGCATTCGACGCGACCAAAATTCGACGTATAAAACGGGCCTTAGCTGCATCGTGCCGGATAATGTGCAATAAAGCGTAATATATTGTAATACACCACTTATACCGTTTTGTAATCATACGTGGGAACGTTCGTTTTGCCTCAGGCCGTGCAATCACTCGCCGCCCCTGGGTCACAACTGGAACGATAAACCGAAACATTTCTTAAATTACTTTTTTATAGAATTTTCTTCACAAATAAATTTTTTTTCTGACATAAAGGGCTAAGTTTTCCCTTATTTTTGCTGAGATGTAGCATGTCACCATGAGAACTGAGGAGTAAAAACCCTATCTTGACTAGTACAGTTGAGCATTCAATATGAAGCAATGGTTACAAATGCTATATGAAGTACTCACCGTTGATCATATTCTCCGCTGCTTGATTAATGTTTAAACAGCAGGCGCTTACGATTAAAACTAAAAACTAAAAATCCAACAGTGAATATACTGTTCAAAACTGTGAAAATAAGATAAAATTATATTCCGTTGAATATTCTAAAACAAAGTAAAAAATAGGTAGAGTGATGCAGATTCTTAGAAACCGAAGCCGGCATAAAAGGTGGGTTATCACATAATATTTTTATCTTTTAAGGATTTTTTTGGAAACATTTTTTTTTCAAAAATCACAAAAGTCGTTTTGACTTTTAATAGTTTTTTTAACCCACAAAACTGTAGCGAAATGACGATTTTGTAAATATATCTATATTTTTTTGTCAAATTTTAATTAAGTGAAATACATATAAAAGTGCATGTGTTACTGCCGGCAGTTTATAGATGTCAAGATGCAGTCGCTGTTCGGTAAAAAATTACCGATATGTAAAAGTTAGTTGTCAAAGTTTAACCCTACGCTAACAGGCTACATGGCCTGATAATGACAGAATGTGTTTCCCTCAGTTTTCTTTGACGTATTTAGGTTTGAATATCTAAAATAACTTCTAATGTCCAAAGACAAGGTCTTTCTTTGTTTTATCGTGGATTATTACATGTAATAGACATATAATATTATTCTTTTAACTATCTATGGTTTTATATTTTTGTTCATGTGCATATTTTATATGCCAACTTGTGCACATACAGTGAAGGCAATGTATTTTTGGCAAAATAAATCTTCAATAGCAGCACAGAATACTACACAGAAGTCCATCTCCATTGTTTTTTGCGTAAGCGTTATTCGTCATGATTCGTCACTCAGCAAGTACCGTAAACAGAAGCAGTCACCCCCTGGACATGCGCCCATTTTTAGTATTTCCAGGGGGGTGACTGCTTCTGTTTACGGTACTTGCTGAGTGACGAATCATGACGAATAACGCTTACGCAAAAAACAATGGAGATGGACTTCTGTCTGTGATAGCAGTATTAAGCGCCAGGGGGGGGGGGTCTATTCTGGCTCCCCTTGTTTCATTAGAGGTGCCTCGGCTCCCCTGCTTTCTATGCCTTTGCGGGGAAAGACAAAAGCTAAGATTCTGGCATTTATAGTATATTGGTCAAATGTATTGTAAAATACTAATTTGTTGTGATTCGACAGTAAAATTTGACGAATAAGACATTTGGATGCGCAGTCGACACTTAATTAAATTTGAACTGGTTTATTCATTAATCCTCATTCGTTTGTGAAAATTTGGACTGAGTCTGAGGATTCTATAACTCTTAGAATGTGAGTTTATTTTGTTTTAGGGCAACAGAAGATATTAAACGTCGTTTTGACGCCAACTTTCACAAGTTTGTTAATCAGCTTACGAATGTATGTAGACAGTAGACTTGTGATTTATTTTGCATAACATATCAAATTTACTTACATATAGATTATAGATTATTGTTCTGCTCAATGATACATAAATCTGAAATTTATTTTTACTCGTGAAGCCTCGTTTTTTCACCCTAAACTAAAGGCGGATCTCCACTAGACGATTTTTGAGACGATTTTTATGACGATCGTCATAAAAATTCGCGACGATTTAGAGAATTGGAGATCATAGCAGCAAGAAAAAAGCGCGGAATCTTATTAGTTAAAAATTCGTCTGGCGCTCGACGAAAGGTAGAAGTCAATCCAACTTTTCGTTGAGCACTAGACGATCGCTCTTCGAACATTTTTTTTTCAATTGCGCATGTGTCGTCGCGAACTGTTTTCACGATCGTGATGCGCAAGTAAAAAATCTTAAAACCGAAATCGTGCATTTGTGCAGCGCTTTTAGAACTGGGAACTAATTAGAAGGGGGGTTGCATGAAAGTGGCTCGCTTGATTCTCGTGCAGACATATGCATAATCTACTATTTATCTGAAAACAACCAGTAGAAGATGTTTTTAAACCATGTGATTAAAGTCACTTTTATGTGATTAGCTATAGTGTGATTAAAATCACTTATATACTGTATAATATACTGTATACCTGTACGTATTTAACATATAACAACATTATTTCGAATTTTGCCACCATAGTTTATAGCTACTGTATAGGAATGTTTTATAATACACACCGAATTGTCACATAATTACAGCCTGAAAATAAGATTTTATGGTTGCTTTCGGAAAATCTAATTGCTGCCAAATTTAGATGGTCAAATTGTATATATATCTATCAAGCATTTTTTTTCGCTATACTCAGGTTTTTGAGTCAAAATGAATCACTCTGCAACGCCCAGTCGACTTGCACCCACGACCTTCAGGGCCGGACCGACTGGGAGGAGGGGGGGGGGGGATGTACGACACCTCCTAAGGAAAAGTCAGGAAGGGGGCCCAATTGTTTGAAGGGGGCCCCCAAATGCTGGAATTGCTGAACGTGTGAAATTTTTGTGAAAAATTGAGGTCAACTTTGTAATTAAGTTAAACCTGAATTATAATAAACCCTTTTTTGCGAAGAACGTCGGGTTCGGGAAAAAATTTTATGGAACGTTTTTTTCAAACAAATAATAAACAGAAAATTTTCCCTAAACAAATGGACTCCATTCTTATCCTGATTTAACGCTGCCCCACTTGTTTGGGGCTGGCAACGTCCCTGACACAATGATCAGCAACGAAGTTTCAAAAATTTTATTATTTACCAATAAAATTAATCGTTTCACACTTAACCAGTTTAGTAAAATAACAAAATGTTGCTTAGTTGAAAAGAATTCATATCTTTTTCAAGGATAAGGTTCTACACAGGCGAGGCGAGATATTTGCCAAGCCGTCGATATTCTCACCCCTAAATGAATTTTCTCATTTTTCTCTTTTTCACAGAGACCTATCTTTAATGCAATGATCATGGGGGTTATTATGCTCAATGCTCTGGTAATTGGCTTGGAAACGATGGATTCGCTTAAAAATTCACATGGACAATTATTTCAGATTGTAGACGAACTGTTTTTGTCCATTTACACAGTTGAGTTCTTTCTTAAGTTATACGCAGAACCTAAAGGATATTGGAAAAGCAGCTACAATCGCTTTGATTTCCTTATTCTCTTTATATCTTACATTCAAGCAATCCTTGACATGATAAATGTTGGTGATAACGTTCTAAAACCACTAAGACTTCTTCGAGGTAAGAAAAGAAAATATCCCGCATGTTAATAATTCACAAGAAAAACACAACGAAAATCAGCACCGCATGTATCATTCTTTCGACATCATGGACCCCAGCGTAGGTAGAAGACTCTGGCTTGCGAGGTTGATCATGGACATGGTATGACGCGCCTGCCACAACTAATTTAGTCAACATAGCTGATGAAATGAAGAATTTATCTTTAAATACTGCCATGACTGGTTTGTTCTTGTGATTAACTTTCTCTTTCTCATGAATGATCGAAAAACTGCATCTCACACTCAATTACATTAATAAATAAATAGAGGATATTACTAACGCCGGCGGCGCGGAGATGTGATTTTTATCTTCGAGTGGTGAAAACAGTATTTTACGAACGAACTCAGCGAGTGAGTAAAATATTGTTTTTAACACGAGAAGATAAAAGATATATCTTCAAGCCACCGTGTAATGTTCTGTTTATCATATAGTCCCAAGCAAAAAGTTGTGAAATTTCACGCTCAAAAGCAAATTGGAAAAAGTCACGTGATCGATATCTTCACTAGTGAAGATATGGAAAATATCTCACTGTGTATTTTTCAATATCTCACTCGCTACTATATGATAAAATAACTTACATTCGTGCGGAAATGAGCTTTTTCCATGGTTATGGTACTAAACGCATTTTCTATTATACAATTACTTCGATCCATTCCTAAAGCTACACCAGTCCTTGGCCCTCGCCTGGCCGCACTGCACTGTGCGGCGGCCAGGGACTGGAGTAGTCCTAAAACTAGTTATTACAGTACGTACTGAAGCTTTAATCTTAGATTTATATAGTTCAGTTGCTAAGCGATCGACGGGTCACATGTTTTGAATTTCTGAACCAACATCATTGTCTGTACCTCTTTTAGCTGCGAGAACTCTGAGAACAATATCTTTTATCGAAGGCTTGCAAGTCTTGGTGATCGCTTTAATTGAGACTCTACGTCATTCTGTACTGAACGTCGTTGTACTGCTTTCAATGTCTATGGGTTTCTTCGCTGTCGTTGGGTAAGTTGAGAGTTTTTTTATGCCAATGTGAAGAAAGCTTCCATTATTTAAGGACAAATAGTAATTTTCTGGATTTGCCTTTATTTGGTTTAACTTTTACTTAGGGGTGCACCGGAACCAATTTTTAAAGTTCCGGCCGGAACCGGATCCGACCGGAACTGGGAAAAAGTTCCGGCCGGAACCGGAACTGATTTATTAAGCCATATATGGTCATATGTTACTTTGTCCGCTGCCAAACAGGCAGATACTTCAAGTCGTCAAGAGAGAGCTCGCAAGTGTCAGAATAAAAAGATTGAAAAACGTTAAACGCCATAATGAAGTGTTAATAGTGTACATTTCCCTTGCGTAGTCCAAATTTCTTCCTACTGTGAAATTTTGTTAGACACAAAAACGTTTGATATGCTATCTCTCTGAAAACGACAGAGTTCCGGTTCCGGCCATGCTTTTTTTATTAGTTCCGGCCGGAACCGGAACTCTGAAAAATCGGGGTTCCGGCCGGAACCGAGTTCAAGTGCACCCCTACAGTTCTACTGCTTGCCCGTACTATAGACTTGTAGGTGGGTAGGCAGTTGGGAAGGTAAAAATAGTTATAGGCAGGCAAGCAAACAACTGAAGGAAGCAGGTAGGTGCACGTAGGCTAGGAAGATATAGGTATAGGTAGAAAGATAGTGAAGTAGGTTAGTACTACCATATGCTATCCCAAGGAAAGAAAAATTGCAAAATGGACTGAATGTAAATACACAAAAAACGTTTCTGAACAGAGAAGACGTTTTCTGTCATCAAAACCAATACTAACGTCCGAATATCATTACATGTCAAATTAACCATCACACAACAATTATATAGGCCTACTATCAATCTTATAAACACCAATTTCAGTAACCAATTACTTAGATGATAACATAATATACCAATCCCATTGCCAATTTACCAAATATTAAAAAACATCCATGTCAATAAAATTAACGACATTAAGAACAATTTATAACAATATTTATCAACATGATTACTTGTTAGGTATTATATGTTTGGCCATGATGAAGAAACTGGAATTGAAAATGAAAATTGGTCAAGCTTAAGCGCTGCAATGCTTACTCTCTTTACGTATGTTACGGTAAGAAATGCCGCACGAGTATATGGAAATTACGGGAACCACTGAGTATTTTGATAAAATACAAAACAGTAGATACTCCGAAAATTGAAAGCATTTTGAAAATTTGTTTCGACTAAACTATAGTCATCATAAACTATAGTTTAGTCGAAACGTCGAAATAAATTTTCAAAATGCTTTCAATTTTCGGAGTATCTATTGTTTAGTATGGAAATAACGGTTTAGTTTTGAATAAGAGTGCATTTGCCTTAACATCCATATATGACCCAGATTAACTTCTTGCAAGATTTCTCTCAGTTAGTTGATTATGATTTCGCTCAAGTCGTTTGTGAGAGAAACACAGCAGGTTTTCTCCAACTACAGTACTTCAGCCCCAAGGAAATGTCTAATTAATATGGTGTAAATTTTATACATTTATATATTAGACCTAACCATGAGAAGTACCTGCGAAAAAATGCAACTATACAGGCTCTCTGATAGGTCCCACCTTACTATGGAGTCACCTTTTGTAGTATATATACAAGAACGTGTGGTTAGAGCTCGACAACTGGACAATGTAGCTCAGTTGGTTAGAGCGCTGCACCGCAATAGACCTTTATAAAAAGGTTGACGTCAGCAGACTTGTGACGTAGTTTGCGGAGAAAATCCTGAAAGCTCAGAGTTGTTTACTTGTTTTGAGTTTTTTTAAAGCCAAAAGAAGCCAGTATTATGGTATGTTTGAAGCAAATTTTTCTATATATATAGGCCAAATGAGTTTTCATATTCGTCGTATAAATTTTATTTGTTTTTATATTAGATTGTACATTATTTTACTGTCATGAACATTTAGCAAATTGTTCGCTCGGTTTTCTTTTCTGTTTCTCAAATTCATCAGTGTAAACAGCTTCGCTTTCGTTTCTGAAGATTTAAACTTTAAATCTCTACACTTCAGCCGAAATTTTAAATTATTTTTGGTAGCTTTTTCAATGTCCTTGCCAATTTTTGACCCGGGTATGTCCTTTTCTGTCAACTATATCGATAAAAATAATAGACTTATCAGTCTTAATACGAGTCATTGTGTACAAGATGTACTCAGAGTCTATATAAAAGTTCACTTATGACAATAAGACCTCTTTGCATGATCACACTGAGCCTGTGTATTGCTGCATGTATACAGCTTGATTGGGGCCATTCTGATGATTAGACTGATGAATGTGAGAAACAAAAAAGAAAAATTATACTTTTTAGCAACGAAATATATGTAAACAAACCGAGCGAACAATTTGCTAAATGTTGACAGTAAAATAATGTACAATCTAATATAAAATCAAATAAAATTTAAACTAAGACGAATATGAAAACTCATTTGGCCTATATATAGAAAAATTTACTTCAAACTTACCATAATACTGGCTTTTTGGCTTTAAAAAAAACTCAAAACAAGTAAACAACTCTGAGCTTTAGGGATTTCTTCCGCAAACTACGTCACAAGCAAGCCTGCTGACGTCAACCTTTTTATAAAGGTCCATTGCCGAATGCGCAGGTTCGATTCTTGCCGAGGGCCTATAGTTGCATTTTTCACAAGTGTCATCCAGGTGATCTTGATACGCGGAAAAGTACTGGCACTAGTTGTCAAATAGAAATCCATTTTATGATTAAAACAACGGAATATCTCCTGTAATATACTTTATTTCGATTCCATATTTTTGTCAGAGCTATAGTTCTCATAACCAAACATAATTACAAAATTTCAACTAGTTTCATAAAGAATAATGAAAGATATAATTGACTAAATACATCAAAATGGATTTCTATTCGGACAACCCTTTCTGAGCGCTGATTGGCTAAAATACGAACACGAGATCACCTGGATGGTTTACGTTTAATATAAATGTATAAAATTTACACTCAAAATTTCCATCAAAATCCTTCAACATTAGTTCAATCGAGCGAGATGCCCCCAAATCCTGATATTTACAGTCATATAAACAGTGTAGATATCTATTATTCTTCTTCGGCCAATATAATTGTAGGTTGATGGTTGGACAGATATACAAGCCCAGTTGGAAACACGTCCATACAGCCAGTGGTTCACTATTTCATTTATTTTTCTGGGACATTTTATTTTCACAAACCTTTTCATTGGAATTATAATCATGGTGAGGAGACCGCTGTGTTTTTTATCGTTTGTTTATAAGTTACTGAACTTATTACTCTTATCGTGCTGTATGGCACGCTAATCCGTTTGGGTGTATAAGATTTTTTTCTCAAGATACAGATTAAAGAGTATTGGAAACAAAATTCAAGTTTGGCAGTCCAGATTTAACGAACACTACTCTTACAACATCATACTTTCTGTACGCTTGCAAATTGGTTGATGGATTCATCACTAAAAGTTAACTGAATGATTGCATCAAATAACCTTTAGGTGGACGATGCAATCCATTGTAATTTGTAAATAAGTACAGTTAACATTGCCAGTCAGCAAATTCGGGAAGTATCCATTGGTTTTATACTTCGTCTTTGAAAAGATATGTTTTATGGAAGACATCTTGCTAAATTCTGTACAATTTTTGGACGCACTAGCCACCTGTTGAATTTTACACCAACAACTGAAATATATATGAGACGATAACGTATTATCAAAGACACTGATTCAGTTATTGATTTTCTTGTTTAATTTCAATTTTTTCATATTGTCATAGAATATTCATGAGGCAACTGAAACTTTTAGATTGCAACAGGTGATGGAAAAAGAGGCCACCTTGCAGGTGAAATAATGTTTCTATGTTTGCACAATGCAATTATGACTACACCATCTCATAAATAATGACACAGACTAGAATATCTAATTAATTAAATTAAATTTGAAAAGTCTTCATGTGAAGTGGCGTCAAAGTCAGCAGCGTAAGGCTCATAAGGTAGGGTTATGGCGAGAACTGTAAGGGCCCCGACAGTTGGGGGGGCTCTGACTACCACACCCCTGTACTAATTAAAATGGTGGCAAGTCTATTCAGTTACTTTCGTCCACAAATCATTCCCGTTACATTTCTCAGTTAAGATTGTGAAAAAATATTCAACTGATTTCTCAGAAGGAACTGCATGCATGGTGACTAAATTTCATCCTTTGTCCACGAATAAGATCCGATGTAATTCAATCAATGCTTAAACATAATTGCGTTAGTTCATCTTTCCCTCAAGTGTGTAAAACTACAATTATATCGAGACTTAAAGTGGAAAAAAAGTTTTGTTAAGGAGAAAAACCCATTCCAGTGCCCCAGTGGTTTTTTACGAAAAGCAGTAGTTCTGAACAGAATATATACAAAAATCGTCGTTTAAAAATACATTTTCAACGTTGTTGTGCAAGCCAAAACAAAACACGAAAGATCATAAAGAAACTCGATAGGTATGTTCTAAAAGTATTTTAACTGTTTTATAATATAAATGGAGTTCAATAATCTTTTTAAACTTACACAACTACTTTTTATATTTTTCTACGATGCTTGAGCTTGAGGCAACGCGCCAACACAAATTTTTTTTTCCGTAGACAGTCGGACTCCTCATTGATAGTCGGACGCATCATTGCCCCGCGCCCTTAAACAAAACATTCAGCGGATACTCTTCTTATTAGAGGCGTCTTCCCAGTGTGTCTTCCGCACGCAATTGGTGATTCAAAATGTTGTATTGTTTGGTTGAGATGTCAAAATGTGAGCAGGACACATTGTGGCTTCATATCTTGTGTGGTAATGACATCTGACATATTTTATTAGGAGCGATTGCAGAATACCCGTCCACTTTTAAGCTATGCTTTTCAAACATCATGGATACGATGTATTAATACATCTATATTTATTCTTAATAGATTAATAAATAGATTGATAGATTAAAATCTCATGGTGGTAAAGGTAGCTACGAAGCATACAGTGACTTAGCGTTAATAGATTAAATTGGCATAGTGTTAAAGGTAGCTCTATATTCTAGTGGATACGCGGACATGCAGTCAACTAGTTATTTTGAGAACGAGGCATACAGTTAGATTAGCATTAGATCAAATTCTCATGCTATAGGTATAGCTCTATATTTTAGTGGATACGTGGATACGCAGTCATGTAGTTATTTTGAGATTAAGGCGACAGTTAGTTAGCATTAATAGATTAAATTATCATCTTATATAGAGAGCTGTGGTGTAATATGTAAATATGTTCCACACAACCGGACATTGGTGTTTGACAGATTATGATTAATTAGCGTCACTGGGAGAAAAAAATTATATTATAAAGCATACTAAGCATAATATTAAACATTAAAAGTCTTGCATGATATTTCCTTTATAGTATCAATTCGTAATATTGTTTTAGTAATTATTTTGTGTATATTTAGGCCTGGACGCGGATCAATGATGCGTCCGACCATCAATGAGGAGTCCGACTGTCTACGGAAAAAAAATTTGCCGCGCCAACGCTTTTGAAACCATATAGTTTTCGACGATTAACTCGATGAAGACTGAACTATCATTTCCTAATTTCATAAAATATTAGCAAAACAGTTACGTCCAGAGCATGCAAAAATGTTTTATGAGTAAATTATATTTACGCGAAACTACTTTGTTTTTACAAGGCTGCACGATTTTCGCCGCTTTTGTAACTGCACAGTGCCTTTAAAGAACTTAATATTTCAAAATCTATCCCCAAACTACAAATTAGACAGCAAGACAAAACGTTTTTACGATGAAAACTTAGTTTTAACTTTGTTTACCCCTTATCTTATATTATGCAACCATGCCCGTTACAGTAGCAGCGGCAGAACGATCTTTGTACAAACTGAAACGTATTCAAATCTCACGTCTCAAATGTCCCAAATTAGGGCCTCTCGCCTAATATGCCTAAGGGCCCCATCTTTCTTCGTTACGCCACTGATGGATGTAATGGTCCGACCATTATTCAGGTGTTCCTATTGTGCATGTTCCTGATGTTGTTGATCATTTGTGAATTGATTGTGATTTGTATGGATCAATATTATAATCATACGAATTACATATTTATCTAAATTTTAGTTGAAGAAAGATTTTCTTTACCAACGACAACATAATGATGTTAAGGAGATGCTTGAAAAGCAGGTAATAAAATACAGAAAACTGTGACCAGTCCACCCATGGCGACGCCACTGCCTACAGTATTATTAAGGAAATAATATAACAGCTCATGAAAATAGGGTATGATTTTTTGCAGTGTATTGCACCAGTACGCTCAGTTATGACAGGTCATACCATATCTGTGGGTCGTATACAATTGCAAATGACAAACATGTGATATTTAACAGTTCGGCGGATATTTTGTATTCATGCTTACGGCTTCACAATGTTCATTGATACCATACAGAAATAGTTGCTCAATTACATCACGAAAAAACATATCTTCAATAAATTTTCAAAGTTTAACATGATTATTGTAATTGTAGTGCATAGTGTAGTCACAACTCATATGTTAATGTACGTTTAGAAATCGAGCCAATTTGTTGACTTCAAAGACATGTGTCGTGCCTTTGAAGAGACATTACGTCACGAAGATCACGTGATCATGACAGACACTAGCACAAACCTTGTCTGGATGGAAACATTCATCACTACCCTTGATCATCTTGACCTATATACTCACAGGTAATATTGAAGTCGTAATAAAATGTTAACCGCAAACATATTATCTGCTCGCATGCAGCTCCGGCATTTCGGCCTGTAAACAGGCCACGCTCCGCAGGCCTTGATTATTGATACTCACATACCTAGTAAATATTCATCACCAAGGTTCAGAAAGCTGTAACCATATACGGTCCCTGTGGGCTGTGGCCTGCAACGCGCTATAAGTAGGTACTGTTTGCTCGGGAACGTACCCAAACCTAAATCTTCATTAAAATAACTGATTGTGGAAGGTCTGTGCATTTAATTGATAAAAATGAGTCGATGAGGATAGTGGGGTGTTCAGAATAATAAAAATACAATGGAACACTCCGATTACTGGACACTGGACCATGAGTGAATTCGACTATTTTAAGTCCGCCGCACACGAGAGCAACTTGCTGAGCTATAAACCGCCTCGCGTGGCGGTTAGCTAAGCAAGTTGCTCTCGTGTGCGGATAGTTTACGTGAGGATTTGACCTCTCGAGGCCTTGAGGAAAATATCTATCGTGTTTGATATTTTTCACCTCGCGAGGAAATAATCTCAGCGTCTGCGGATGTTGTGAGCTAAGTGCTGAGCTGTTTGAATCAATTAGCCAATGAGAAACCATAGTTTCTTCATGTGACTAGGAACAAAATGGAGGAAAATGCAAATGATTTTGTTAATTATATTGTTGTTGAGTAGTTTTCCCAACGTGTGCGGTGAAAATACATAGCTGAGCTAACCGCCTCGCGAGGCGGTTAGCTCAGCAAGTCGCTCTCGTGTGCGGCAGGCTTTAGGCTAAGTCGTATAATAAAGGCAATTTGGTGAAAACTGCACAATTGCGATATTTCAAGCTGTGCTATACCGTTCAGAACAACCGTGTGGCACGTTCCATTGCCTATTGGCACGCGAAACTCGTGTGGTCGTGCAGTACTCAGCCGATCCGCATGGAGCACGTGACGTTTTAATCATTTAGATAATTTATGATATTTAAGATAATTTATTAAAGATAATTAATGTCTATAATTAATGATTAAGATAATTAATGTGTTCTGGATTGTCTATGGTTATAAACAGTCGAAAAACTGCAAAACGTTTAACTTTTGACGCATAATCAGCAGAACTGGAAACTTACATTAATTAAAAATTAAAAAGCATGTTTAGTACTTTTTCTGCAAAACAATGCTACGCTATAACTCATGAAGTGATTTTCTGAGACGGTAGGCTAAAGAGAAACTGATGTCTGAATTCAGTAACTTTTGCAACCTCGTTCCCAGGGTCTTGTAACTTTTGCCGTTTTAATATACTGCAGTTACAAATATATGGCGTCAATGTGAAAGCATCATTGACATTGACAATTGTATTCTAATTGACAATATTCAAGTATAATATTCAGTACTATTTATCACTTATTTACTGAGACCGAGGGAAACAGTGTGTTTTGTGGACCCGAGACCGTCGATGTTTCCCGAGGCGAAGCCGAGCCGGGAAACATCGACGGTCAAGGGTCCACAAAACACACTGCTTTCCCGTTTTCTCAGTGAATAAGTGTTTTATTATATATCAATAGTCAAAGAAACAACAAATTAAAGAACAAATGAACGTAAATACATGAAATATTTTATTGTTAAAACGTTATATTAAACACTGGCTACACTGCAGTTACTTAAAGCGAAAGTTTTAATTACGTACTAGGCATGTCCAAAGGTCGCATCTTCACGTGATGGCGCACGTGATTTTTTTTGTTATTCGCCGGTCGATAATGTATTATCTCCCTCTCGCGCTGTTGCGAGGGAGACAGCCTAATTTCGTCACTCTCACGTGATATGCTCTCAACCAATAAAACACTAGAAAAATGCGACTTTGACTATTGATATATAATAAAATTATTTATTTCCATCTAAATACGGAATATAGTATAGTGCATGATTGTTGCATTACTCATTTAAAGGTCATAATATAAATTCTTAAATTTTGTAATTAAGCTTTGCTTGCTTTAGTTTTAGTTCATTTTTCAAAAATATTTCATTTTCCCATTTTAAGAGAGGATATAGTATAGTGATTCTCGTATTACTCATTATAAAGGTCATAATTGTTGTGTATTTGCTTTCTATTAAATAGCTATATTATATTTCGTGTATAACTCAACAAGAAGCACTCATCCAGAACACATGGTGGATGCGCGCGCATCCTAATAACATAGGTAACATCTGTCCGTAACACCGCTACTTTAGAGATCAAGTCTCACAGGCGGTTTCCTCACTCTTTCTGGATATCTTCGTTCCCTCGTTGTCGCCAGAGGCATTGATGTCTCTGTAGTACTCTCATTTACAAGTTCGTGGGTGCTGGAGCCCTGTTGCACTTGCAAGTCTGCTGCTATTATTGGCAACGTCTGTTCACTTGAACTGGATATCACTTCCGGCTGCACTACTCCCATATTCGCAGTTTGCTCCCTGTCCTGTATTGTGCTTAGTTTAACTTCGGTTGGCAGCAGTTGGTCAATATGTCTGCGCCAGATTACGCCCGATGTCACTTCGATCTTATACATCAAAGGTCCGATCCTTTCAATGACCTTTCCCGATCTCCACTTTAGATTTCCTCGGTAATCAACGTGCCATTACCATGTCTCCCACTTCCAACTGCCGTGTTGCTCTGTTCTTGGCACTGGCCGACTTCCTGCTCTGCTCATGTTGTTTGATCACCATCTTCCTGTTCAGATTAGGTTTAACTAAGTCTAAACGTGTCCGTATTGGCCTGCCAAGCATAAGTTGTGCTGGGCTCTCTCC